CCTTCCTAGCACTTCGGTAGCATTGGTGCTCAGCACGGAAAACAAGATCGACGGAAAAAACAAACCAAAGGAAAAAAAAAACTTTTTAATTAAAGTACTCAAAAAATTCAGAAACATTCTAAAAGACATTAAAATACTACACTCAATAATTTCATCGCAAATAGCCATGTCACTATTTTTGATTTCGTCCCACTGTGCGCCGGAATGTTCTGAGGCATAACATCGGTGCTTCGAAACTATTACGTCCCAACTGGAACTCAACACCTGCCCAGTGTTCTATATGATCACTTCCACAAATGTTAGCAACACAATAGTTGGGTAAAGAAGAATTGCATTGTAACACACCATCGACTGGAAATGCTTTCGGTAACGTGGAGCCTTAGGTAGTGATGAAACGTCGCAAGAACTATTCCACAGCCGCAGACAGTATATGAACAAGTAAAACGCGCACGCCTGTAGAATTGAATAAATACTAAAGAAGTGTGCGTTTGAAAAGTACTGTCGCATTAATGGCCCTTTGCTCATTTTCAACTTCTATTCAATTTGCATACTGCCGTACTCTAGCGGAAATATCCACTTACCCTCTTCAGACCTTTCTCTAGCTAATAAATTATCACACTAAAGCTTCATGTTAGATAGCATTTCCAACCAGCTCTGAAAATCGTAAACTTCACGTATTAAGTAACATAAAAACACTTTGAATCCACATCTGAAATGTATTTCGTTCAAAACAATTTAGTATCAAAAATGTAATTTTAAGTGAAAACTGATGTAATTTGCCTACATTTAGGTGAATTTAAAACAATTATGCTATAAAAAATTCAGTTTTATCACAAACCACAACTTTTGTAGAGATTTGCAGATTGGTCTTCAAATCAAGTAAAAATGCCAACTTCCGAATATTGCATTGCATAAAAACTTCACCCCAGGATTGAAAATTTGTTATTTGAATCTCATTTTAATTATATAAAATAAACTTAACATGCACTTCAAAAACTAAATTCAATAATACCTTATTACATTGTCCTTGCTTTTAATTCTACTACTATTGTATCACTTCCACTTTCAGTAATTCACTGTTTACTTCCACTGTTCACTTCCACTATTCATTTTCACTATTCACTTTCACTGATAGTGATAGTGCAAGTAAATAGTGAAAGTAAATAGTGAATGTGAACATTGAAAATGAATAGTGAATCACTGATAGTAAAAGTGATACAATAGTAGTATATTTAAAAGGATAAACAACGTAATAAGGCATACGATTATTCTACTAATTCAATTAATTGAGATTAAATTCATACATTTGAAAAGCAAATGCTAGTACATACAGACTTGAGAGTTATTAGTTTGTCTGCCATACATATGGCTGGGAACAGTAGTGTGAGTGGTCACAGTCGACGTATTTTCTGTGATAATCCGTTGCCTTTCCTCGCAACACAAGCTATCACAAAAAAGTACCAAACTAAAATGTCATATGACATGGCTTTCATAAGACCATGCCACGGAAGAATGTTACGCTTTCTTGTTGGTTTTTTTCTCATTATGAGAGCTGCCATAATAGTTTTCTTTTAACGCGAATGTTATTTTAACACTCGTGCTGTGCGAGAGAGGTGATGGTAGAGCATGAGTGTATGAAAATAATAATAAAAAAACTATAGCCTACGACAACCAAGCACATGTAGTAAAAAGCAATCACCGTTCAGGTTTATCAGTATGAAGTGATCAACTTCCTCCCGTTTTGCGGTAATCAATGGTACCTCGTGAAGAACGACAGCGTCCTCATAGCAACTGATTTTAATACCACTAGTTTGTACATTTCATTTTTTGAAGAAATTTATTTCCGTAATAACGATAATAAGTGATCAATTTGCTCCCAAATTACGGTACTACGATAGCATTTCTCGAAAGGAAAATATTTGTGTATTAATAATACAAAGGGTGTAAGAGTCTCATACTTACATTTGACGTATTTACCGTTTTATTTGATTAGGTATATAAAACTAAAGTAAATTTTGCGTTCTAGTTTGAATAATACTATCCAAAATGGAATACATACCTGAAATTGATAAAAAAAAAGAGACGTAATTAGAATTATTATTATATAGATTTTTTATAATAGAGGTTTTTAGCCGCAGGCTGGTACATCATCATCTGAAATTATAATTTTAATTCATATAATATATAAGCGATTCTCAATCTATGGTTTGCGACCTAGCCACGCACCGGTGGGTTGCGAGCTATTCTTGAGTAAGACGCAGAATGAACACATCGATGAAAATTTACTATTTTTCAATTTTTCTTAGAGTAATGCGTCATCTGGAAAATAAAAATCTTCATCAATCTCCTCTATGAAGATAACCAACCAAATATTCATCTACATTTCAAAATGTCGAAACTGCTTTTGTCCAGATCAAAGTTCAAAAACAAAAAAAACAATACCGTGGACTACAGGTAAATTGACACGCCGTGCAAATTATGGCTTAAACGACATTTAGCAAATGGAATGAAGAAAAGCGAAATGAAACGATGTGAAACGAAACGCAGAATCAAAACAAAACAGCAAATAAGGCTACCAAAGATTCCCTTTTCGGATGGTCATAGGGTTACTAGAACTTCAAATTAGAAATGATCTCCTATAATATGCACGAAGTGTCGTTAATGTTACCGGGGGTCCACGGGACACAAAAGTACATTGTTTCTTTATCATAGACCTGATTTTTTAAATCGGTCAACTGTTTCCGCAGGGAGTTTCAAGTACTCTACCCAAGAAACAATTTTGGTTTTATGAGGGTTCTGTAGACCATGATTTGGACTTTTAGAATGCTATAAAACCTCTATAAAGCTTGCAATGTTACTTGGGTATGCTCATGGAAGTCGAGAAAATTTCAATCCAGTAAGATTTTCTTGACCGAGCTGTAAATCGATACCACCGCCATCGGTTTGGTGAAACCACCACAACTGGATAATAGGGACATTGGCGTAGCTAATGGGGGTGCCAGGGTGGCCAGGCCCCCTCCAGAATTATCTAGGCCCCCTCCAGATAAATTGCCTAGCTACGCCAATGAGTATGTCTTCTTTCTTTGTTCCGCAATCTAGTGCCAATCACCGACGGACATCGATTGCCATCCATTGACGGCAATCGAATGTGCAGGAAGGCAGCTTCCACACCTGCGTAGGATATCACACCCATTCAACACATATGAACCGAGACTTTCCGAAGGAAGCCATGACCAGAGTAAAATCCTTATTACTTCATCGCTATTGAGAAATGATGAAGTATTCGGTTTTGATACAGTTGAATCGATTCTAATTGAAAGGTCCCGTTATTTATACCCTTCGAAGTGTTGAAACACCCTCCAAAAGCACGCCCCTTTGTCATTCAAAATAGGATTCCTTAGCAACAAAATTAAAGAATGACACCTATAGTGACCATGCATCAGATCCCTAGTCTTAACATGGGTACTGCGAACACAGCCGTTTTTGTTTTGCAAGTCAGCAGGAAACAACTTGAAAATTTTCCGATATCACAAATTGTTTTGCTAATGCACTGCTCACAATTTGCATATACATGCTGTCGAAAGTTCTCCCTTTGCTCCATAAATAACGTGTACATGGTGTTGGGAGTGCACCTACCCACATGACTCTTATAAAGTTTGTTTGCATTCTTCCTTCAGCAGTTCGTGCAGTTTCGTTCGTTCGTTACATTGTTTACATCCGAGTATTCGAGCAAGTTTTTTGTTGAAGAATATTAGTAAAAAAATGCCGAAATGACTATATTTTCAACATTGACCACAATACTTTCTCTGCCAACGGGGATTGTATGAGAAAAGTATCACTTTTAGCAGCTCTAGATCGTTGGATTCTTTTTGACAGCACCAGTTGGATTCTTTTTGACAACCATTTCATGTTTCTCCGCACCACTCAGGTCTTAACCACTTCAAACTAGAGAACAACGAATAGAAGATTAGGAATCACATAGATGAAGACTAACTAACTCATTTTTTCCTTGTTTCAAGATCCATCCTTGGTCCAGGCAACCCGAGGACTTATCACTATCAACAAGGCATAAAAAGTTACAAGGACTAAGATGTGTTCCTTTGATTACTGAAAAATCCTAGAAATTGTCAATTGATGTTATCTGAAGCTTCTTCCAAAAGTTTTTCTGACTTACACGATAGCTTCCGCTGGATGGTTCATGCAACTTCTGCGCTGCATCTTATGCCGGAAGCGGTGGGTACGATTCTCGGTTCGGTTAAATATCAACTTCCCCGGGCATAGAGTATCATAGTGCTCGCCACACAATATACGAAAGCAAAAATGGTACAGACAAATAAAGCTCTCAATTATCAGCTAAAGTTGAGAGCAGAAGGAAAGTTCCAGTTCAAACGAATGGCCAAAGACAAAGTATAAGAAGTACAGCAATTGGGACAAGAAATCAATCAATAATCACAAAAACAAAAATACCACATATATCATGTTCTGGAAGTCTTGATCCACCTTCTCATTGAATAAGCTCAAACATATGAATCCAATCAAATCGATTCCATTTCATTCGCAATGCGGCCAGGTTAAAAAAGATACAGACGCACACACCACCGGTCTAAAAATAGCGTTCCGATTTTTTTCGCTTTTCCAACGTAAAATCTTTTTCACCAAAAATTTCTTCTCAGATTCCTACGCAAAACCTGCAAGTCTGCGCAACGAAAGACATATGAGATGTAAACCTTTATTCCATTTCACGTTTACAAGCAAAAAAATGCTGACTTAGCACCAGCCAATCGCTCCGTGAAGATCGCATGGGTGAGCAACATAAACAAAGCGCAGCACGCGACATATAATAATCACCAATACACTAACACCGGAGGTGCACAACAATCTCGATCGCCAAGTCGATCACCGTCGCCAACAGGAATGACGTCACTTTGTGATGATCGTACTTTCATTGCGACGACATCCAGCGCGATGACAAATCGCTTCTCATACGAACAAATTCTTACCAGACATCATTGCTGCCGACTTCCTTAGCTCTTCTGGCACTGCCTTGGGAAATGGCCTCTGCAATCACTCCCTTCTTCTTTTCAACCGAATTCCTGGAACACCACCGACGACTGATCCGAAGCAAATTTGGCGGTCAGGTTCAACCGCAGATTTGGAGCAAACTTGGCAGTTTTATGATTCACACCGACCCCGATCGTTCTGACCTTGCAGATTTCCCGGATCTGTAGAATTTCACGCTGAAAATCGCACTTTTTCGACCATTTGCGCACACAGAATCCACGGAACGAACGAAAACGAACGCACTCAAATAAACACAATCACTACAGCCAGCGCCAAGTGAGGTCCGTGGATTTTAGCATATGAATTACTACTGCTGCGGCCTGTCTTTCTGCGCGATCGCGATCAACCGAATATGTACTGCAAACTGCGCGCCGAAGGTGCGGACAGCAGACTCCTACCCTAAATCCAGTGACTACGGCCAGTGACGAGACCAGTTTCAAGTGATTCTGTGGAGGAGTCGTGTGCCGATTTGGGTCTATAGGTGGTAGATCGATTAATAAGGCAATATGGTTCCGTCGAGAGGCAGCGTTCTGTTCTGAGGCCGAAGACAGCACCGTGCGGTGATACTGAATAATCCAAGCGACAAGGGTGAGTGATAATGCGGCGCAAAGTGTGTAAGTGTTCCGCTAAAAAATGTTGTTTTATTTGAGACATTCCAGCTAAACGCGCACGGTGTGCCGGAAGTGGGTTGCGATTGGTTAATGTTGAAAGTACTGTTTGTGAAGCTGCTTAGGGGTGATGCATTAAGTATGCATGCATTAAGCTCGAGAGGGGGGGGGGGGTATGACGGGGTGCACAGTGACCAAGGGGGCTTAATTCTTCCAGAATTTTAAGTGACGTACTCAATGGATGCTCTCTTATAGCACCGTTATTGCCATGGTTATGGAGCTTATCCTCAAGTTTTCAAAAGCCTTCCTTTTAACATTGAATCCAACGAACGTCACTCCGTCAGTCATAGATATCGACAGAACCTAATTATTCATCATTTTAGCTGATCTAAAAAACCCAACAATTTTTTCAAAGAATCAACCTAGTTAATTAGGGCTGATCACGGATGATTTTAAATGACCAAGTGATAAACAAATCCGTAATTCCAACCAATTTCAATAAAATCTTCAAAGAGAGTCACCGCGCCAAAGGAGTCCCCCCCTCCGATCCATCCATGTGGGCACAATGTGTGTAAGGTCGCACAAACATTTAAAACCCCAGCTGTAGCGCAAATATTTACGAGTACGAAACAGAAATAAGCAAAGCTGGAGAGTAACCGAGAACGCATATATTTAAGCATTCAGTCAATATGTGTGCTAAGCTAAATCGCAGAAGATACGTAAAACTCCTGATTATCGACTGCATTGAATGAATGTATTGAATAAGTACAAATCGGATCTTCCCCCAGCGGCTTGTGGTGCTCCTTTACCAACGTGATACATAAACGAACCGCACAACAATCGAGAGGTTTATTCTCCCAATACTGTAGTAGGAGAAATTATATTGCGGCGATGGATGACCATAAACCACACAGGCATTCTTGGAATGATGTCATCCTTTAGTAAACAACGAAGCAATATCAATGAAAAAACGAACGCTTGGTAAACATAGTGTCGTTTATTAACGTGTGTGTTGGTGTTATAAGGTTATCTTTCCGGTCGGAAGCACTTTATGCGAAGGGCCCACGACTGCCACATTTGACGATCCATCTAAGGTAGCTCAGCCTACCTAAGTTAATTTAAATATGTAGATCACACCAGCAGGACTGAATCGCGAAATGATGACCTCAAGCTTCCAGCAGATCGAGTGTATAGGAGAAAGAATCAAGTTCGATCGGTAGTCGATCGGTAGTAACAGTACTAAATATATACCAAAGCAAAGTTGACTCAAAAGCTTAAACCAGCTTATAGTTGCCAGCAGCGCTACCTGATGTCGAACATTGACCACGTAAGCTTTGGCAGAATGAATGCATGTGAGCAATTCCACGTTAAATGACTAATCGATCCGACACGACCTTCTCCGATGTGCGTGAAACTTTGCATAATTGTTTGTTATGAAATCTAATGGCGGTTTCATTATTTTCCAAAAATTATAGAATGAAGACGTGATTTCCAATTAAAATGGCATAGGAGTCAAAATTGCAGGAAAAAATTAATGCCTCAAGGAAAAATATACATAGAAATTTTTTAGCAATTTTGTGCAAACAATCCAAAAATGTGTTAAAATTTAAATAACACAAAATTGACATTTATTTTTGTTTGAATGATTTTTATTGAATAGCTTATGAAAAATCCTAAATGCTATTAAATTTCCATAGTGGACACTCTAAAATTAACAAAAATCGAAGCTTTTTCGCTTCGGACGGCGTGACACTTGGTCCTGCAGTAAGCAGACCAAATCAGCGGCTAAAGGTGTTCAGTCCGCATCGTGCTCTCTTGCCGTGCGGATCTATTTGCTTTTTGCTGAAGGAAGTGTTACTACTACCTAAAGCTACAACAAATTTAAACAGCACTTTTCAGTGCTCAACCTGTAAAAAATTTTCTACCTTGTTCAACTCTTATTCCTCTTCGATCCTTGTTTGGACCCTACCCGAGGTAATCCTTCTTGGATATCGATTTGGAAAATTCCTCTTCGATCCTTCAGATTCTTATAGTAATCTGCTTGGAAGTCGATTTGGATAAAAATTTACTGTCGCCATGGCGCCTAAACGCAAAAGAAAGGGGCAAACTCTTGACCCCCCTTCTGATGAAATTAATTTGAGTAATCAATTTGATTTGCTCACGGATGATGAGAATGATCCATCATCCAAGAAAAATTCTAGTAAACTTTCCCGGCTTAATGCCAAGAAGGAAAAGATTCCCCCTATTGTGATAACCACTACCGATTTCCATGCTCTTCGCATGGAACTTTTGAATTTCGTGAAAGTTAAGTTTTCACTACAAATTGGACGTCGGGGTGAATGCCGTGTATTGGCTGAAACCTTGGACGGATTTAAATGTCTTCTCAAGTATCTTACTGAGAAGAAGCACAAATTTTTTACTTACGACACCAAAACTGAACGTGTGTTTAAGGTTGTCATGAAAGGACTGCCCAGTGGTGAATCCCTGGATCAGATCAAAGATGAACTGGCAAAATTACTTGGAGTTGTGCCACTCCAAGTAATCAAAACGAAAATGAAATCCCGTCCTGGCGATTCGCGCAACGGGATTTCTAATGATTTTTATTTAGTTCACTTCAAGTCTAGTGAACTAAACAACCTTAAGGCCTTAGAAAAAGCTAGCCTTATGCTCCATGTCCGAGTGAAGTGGGAACACTTCAGGAAGACTGGAGGAAATTTCCAAAACCTCACCCAGTGCCGTAAGTGCCAGGGATGGGGTCACGGAACTAAAAATTGCTACATGCCAGCTAAATGCATGAATTGTGGTGATTCCTCTCACGCAAAGGACGACTGTCCTGTGAAGGAAGATTCTAAGAAATTTAAATGTTCAAATTGTGGTGAAAACCACAAATCCAATTTTTGGGAATGTAAGACTCGCAAAGCGATCCTACAATCTCGTTCTAACCGTCAGGTAGGAAACGCTCCACGTTTCCGACCAGGTACAAATTCCTCTGCTGTTAACAACGGTCAGCGAGGAACAAATTCTACATTCGTACCCGTAGGTACAAATATCTCCCCTGCTTCAAATGTTTCATCTGTACCTACTCCCCTCGCTGCTAACAATGTTGAGCGAGTTAATGGCTATTGCAGCGGGTAGAAATCAAAATACTAACCAACGTTCTAACGGAAATTTTGACAATTTTGACTTAGGAAGCATTACTGCCCCCAAAATGGAATTTTTACAGAATTCATTAATTGACATGATTTCTGATATGCTTAAATCTAACTCCATGTTTGATGCTATTCAAACTGGAGTAAAATTTGCAAATAATATTGTCATGACTTTAAAATTCAGTAATGGATTTTAAAGCATTAAATATTGTAAATTGGAATGCTCGATCTCTTAAAGATAATGAAGACGAGCTATTTAATTTTTTAAGAGTTCATAACGTGCATATTGCCGTTATAACTGAAACGTTCCTTAAACCTGACCATAAGGTTAAGAAGGACGCAAATTACTTGATTTATAGAAATGATCGTCTTGATGGACCCTGTGGTGGCGTTGCCATCATTATTCATAGACGAATCAAACATAAAATTCTTTCTTCATTTGAAACCAAAGTTTTTGAAACTTTGGGAGTTTCTGTTGAAACAAAATTTGGACAACTTACGTTTATAGCTGCCTATTTGCCATTCCAATGCGTAGGCCAGCAAAAGAATTTTCTCAAGGGTGACCTCCAGAAACTTACCCGTCATAGGTCATAGGCAAAACACCGCTCATGGAATAATGCTCAAAGCAATTCCAATGGTAATATTCTGTTTGATGATTGTTCTGCAGGTTATTACACTATTCAATATCCAAACAGCCCAACATGCTTTTCTTCTGCAAGAAATCCCTCCACTATTGATTTGGTCTTAACTGATTCATGTCAACTTTGTAGCCAATTGGTTACCCATGCTGACTTCGGTTCTGATCACCTTCCAGTAACTTTTGAAATATCCCAAGAAATAATTTGTAATCCCAACAGCTCTACTTTCAATTACCATAGAGCTGATTGGGAGCAGTATCGAACATTTATGGAATATAACTTCGATCCAAACATTCCTTTGCAAACCAAAGATGAAATTAATTGTGCTCTTGAATCTCTGACTACTTCTATAGTTGAAGCAAGAGCTGCCTCAGTACCAAAATGCGAGGTTAAATTCGATTCAATTATAATAGACGATGATCTTCAGCTCTTGATCCGTCTTAAAAATGTCCGTAGGAGACAATATCAAAGAACACGCGATCCTGCCATGAAAGTCATCTGGCGGGATTTGCAAAAACAAATTAAAAAGCGATTCTCTGCCCTGAGGAACAAAAATTTTGAAAATAATATTTCTAAATTAGACCCGAGTTCCAAACCCTTTTGGAAACTCACAAAAATTTTGAAAAAACCTCAAAAGCCTATTCCAGCGCTTAAAGAAGGTGGTAAAATTTTGATCACAAATTTGGAAAAAGCTCAGAAACTTGCTAAGCAATTCGAGAGTTCCAATAATTTCAGTTTGGGTCTTACTAGTCCTATTGAGAATCAGGTTGCTCGGGATTTTCTGAATATTTTCTCTCGGGAAAATATTTTTGATGATTCCTGGGGGACTGATTTGGACGAAGTAAGGTCTATAACTAAAAAATTTCAAAATATGAAAGCTCCAGGTGATGATGGAATTTTCTATATCCTCATCAAAAAACTCCCAGAGAGTACCTTGTCTTTCTTGGTAAAATTATTTAACAGATGTTTCCATTTGGCATACTTTCCTGATAAATGGAAAAATGCAAAAGTTGTTCCAATTTTGAAGCCGGATAAAAATCCAGCTGAAGCTTCTAGCTACCGTCCAATAAGTTTGCTTTCTTCAATAAGTAAACTTTTTGAAAAGATAATTTTGAATAGAATGATGCTTCACATCAATACGAACTCAACGCACTCAACTGGAGTTGCTCTTCTA